TTTCATGTAAACGTTTGAAAACCGTATCCAAATGTTGATAATGTAGAGCCTCGTTTTCAGATGCTATAAGACAATCGTCGACGAATATGAATACGAAATCCAAATCCCTGAATAGCGAGTCCATGAATCGTTGGATGTTTGCGCCGCATTACGTAAACCGAAAGGCATTTTTGGAAATTCGAAAAGTCCAAAAGGAGTGATAATAGCAGTTTTTTCCACATTTTCTACAGGAATGCAGTGGTACGCCTTTCGAATATCAATTTTGGAAAAGATTTGCTTCCCTTCTAGTATGTAAGTGAAATCAGTTAGTCGTGGAAGTGGATATTTGTCCGGTACAGTCACGCTATTGAGCATTCTATAATCTCCACATGGTCTCCATTCACCGTTCTTTTTCTTAACCATGTGCAAAGGACTAGCCCATGGGCTGTCCGAAGGGCGACAAATGCCAAGCTCCATCATAGTCTGAAATTCTTTCTTTGCTATATGATATTTATCAGGAGGTAATGGTCTTGCACGTGCTGATACCGGTGGTCCTTTAGTGATAATATGATGCTTAATCTTGTGTTTTGGAGTAGTGTGGAAGGAGGCTGGTTTCGTAATATCCTCGTATTCATTTAATAGTTGAGTAATGCGTGGATTCGTCTCAATGTTAATAGTGCGGATTGTTTGCTGCGTCGATTTGATCAGGGTTGCGGGCGTTGTCAGCTCAGTTACCCTATCTATGAGTTTTCGACCAGCTATATCGACTAATAGCTTATAATGCTCTAAAAAATCTGCTCCAATAATCGGTTGTGTTACATCGGCGATGACAAAGTTCCATACAAAGTTTCTTCGTAGCCCGAAGTTTAAAGAGAGTGTTTTTTCACCATATGTCTTAATTTTTGTACCATTGGCGGCATAAAGTATACATTGTTCATCTTGTATTAGTGAATGTCTCTGTGGCTTGCTAATAACTGAAATATTTGCTCCCGTGTCAATCAAAAATCTCATACCACTTTTTCGGTCGGTAATAGTGAGGCGGTTGGACGGGTGAATAGCACAGAGTTCTGCCGTTGTCCGTGCTTCAATTAGTTTCCCTGTTTCCTTGAGTTGAGATCCTGTTTCCAATCACAAGGTTGAACACACTTTTGTGCATATTTTTTAAATCTTCCATGGTAAAAACAAAAGTGCCTTCTTTCTCTTGAACTCGACTGTGGTAGGAAATGCCGACGATTGGAATAACTTTGAGTGCTGCGTCGATAGTTTTTTTTGACCTTGCTGAATTGCATTTAGTTCCAATTGCATTTCTGCTAACTGTGCTAGTATGCATGACATTGTATCGTCGCCAGATTTGTTTCCGTTTACAGCTGACACCTCTGTACGTGTTGAATTTATTAATATCTTGTCCGCGATCTGGCTCATCTTGTTCACATCTATGTCTTCTGTGACTGCTAGAACCGAAGTCACTGATGGTGGCAGAAGCCTCAACCATAGAAGTTTGATGGTTTCGTCGCTGATATTTCCGTTACTCAGGGTCCGCATCTTGCGCAGAAGATGTGATGGTTTCTGGTCGCCGAGATCCATTTCAGACAATAATTTTTGGAGCTGACGTTGGTCTGATTCCTCATAGCAACTGATTAGGCGTTCTTTGATAGCCTTGTACTTTTCTATTGGCGGTGGGCAAGTAATGAGGTCACTAACCTGTATTATTTCTTCTTTTGGCAGTTTTGCAATGACCGTATAGTACTTGTAATCGTCTCCTTGCTTCTGTGGTGCTACTATGGCTTCTAGTTGCTTAAACCATAATCTGGGTTGGTCCCTCCAAAATTCCGGAATACGGGATAAAATGGCGGTTCCGGCTGATATCTCCAAGGCTTCTTGTTGGCTGCTGCTTGATTTGCAGGGTGAATGAGTCATGTTGATTGTTCTTCGTCGGGTCACCAATTTGCCAGACTTCGTGGCAAGGTAAATAATGAGACTGTAGATGGTTAAGGTCTGTTTATTACTTTAATTGCTGGTGCTTATATACTAAGAAGATGCGTGAGATTTTCAGATTTAGCTATCCTACAAACGTGCAACAATTAACATGTATGTCTTATCTCTATCGTATCTAAGTAATGTAGCGACGTGATAGAGTGCCGCTACATCAGTTGTTAATAGCTATAGGACAGAGTAAAAAGTGTTTTATAATTAAATGACCTGTCTGGATAGCCACTATGTATTCGATAAATTTGAATATGGAACGTCATTTTCATTTGTATGAACTATGCAACATTTTTTAAACAGAAACAGGCGCTTAATATTTTGTACAGGCATTTAAAAAAGGAACTTTGAGGTTTAATTTAAGGCACCCGATTTTCATTCATGAGAATTCGAAACCTGGTTAGTAGCAAAATGACTTTTTCTGAGTAGGTAATAGCGATTCCGAAAAGGTTATAAGATGTGAAATTAAAAAAAAAAAATAATAATTAATTATGCATTAAACTTTTAACTATTATAATTAGATACATAATAAAATCATAATATTCTTAAATGTAGCTTTGACTACTAAAATTAGGTAAGTATTTAAACCCAGAAATTTGAAACAAAACCGCAACGAAAACAGAAGCTTGCACTTCAAACAGATAAAACTATAGTTTCAAAAACTTTGTAAGTATAAACAAAGAAACTAATTTTCGTTTCGCAATATTTTCTCTTTTCAATCCTCTACGGATTTGCAAGCTGGCTTCCAGTTAAATAATGCATGTAGTACGACGGAGTTGCAAACACCGCCCGGTGACACACCTCGTTAGTTGCTCACTGTGCTACCAATCCCTAGAGCCTACACAGAAGACAGGTACAGAATGACTAGTGCATATATCCTAGTCGAAATGAGAAAAAAAATGACGGAGGTTAATGTGAAGAAGCATTATGAGAAAGTTGTAAATGAAATTAATTTTAATAGGTGCTCTTGGACAAAATGGACTACATTTTGTGAAATGTAATTTTGATATCTAGCGTTTAACAATGCATTGTTGTTTTTTTTCATGAATCAGCATTTTTACACGTCATATTGGCATAAAAAATCGAGTTGAAGCTAGCAGTCCCTATTCCGAAACTCGCCGAAACAAACTCACTAGGTCAGTCACTTTTTGTAGTGATGCCAAAGTTTTTTTCTAAATAATATTATGTTGTAATAACTACGATGACATGATTAAATTCATAGAAAAAAATAACAATGACTACACACGAACAAGCATTCCCCTTACCATAATCCACAAAATTAAAAAACAAAAGCTCTATTGGCAAATTTTTAATGAAACATAAATCTAACCTCTTTCAATATAAAAAAAAACCTACCTACATAAAAAATGTCTTCCACGCACGGAAGTTTATTATACAGCGCGATCTTTAAAGTGAGCCTTGTATACTTACGCTGTGTTAGTAAGCAAACTTGCAAACGTCACGTCCCAGACTCATTTCCGCAGCACGTTTTATGGATTAAAATAGAAACAACCCTTTTCGTTGAGTAACGACATTTTCGTTTACACAAACCTTAATGTTTCGATATAATTAAAGTAATGAAGGGCTTTTATTTTAATTTTTTTTGGCCTTTCTTGTGAGGGATAAATCATCAAATGACTTCTCCCGCCAACAGTTTCAGACTCTTCTGACTAAAAACCCTCCCGTACTGGGTACTTCTCCGCTCTGGGCCGAGGTCGCGGTAACTCATTGCCTTATAACGCAACCCCGGCCGAACATCAGCCCTATAGGGTAGTAATGGCTGCCTTTATCTTTTTAACAATTATGAGCATTTTTATATTGTTGTATGTACTTGTGTCTGGTTTAAGTTCTGTTCTGTAGACAAGAACTTTTTTTATGTCATCATTCGGCAAACTAGTAGACCATGGTAAGGAATCGGCGCCGCCCGGGTGCGTTGCTAGCCTCTTGTGGGTTGTTAAGGATTTATGGATAGGGAATCTGATGATACATGTAGGATAGGAAGAGAGAGAGAGGGAGGGGGGAGCGGGAGGGTTGAGGCTCCGGTAACGTGAGCAGCACCCGACGAAACACAAAGTAAGCATTGCTTCACGTCTTTATACTGTGAGGCCGTGGTATCACTCCGGTCGAGCCGGCCCATTCGTGCCGAAGCAAGGCTAAACTTTTTCCCACGTTATAGTTATTCTCTTCAAAACGATTTATTTCTAATAAACATTGAAACTAAAAAAATAATAATAATATACGTATGTAAGTACAAAGCAAAAATCAACAGAAAATACATTATCTTCTTCATTTTTCCTCAATCTTCATAAAAAAAATTACCTTTCAGTAGGCATAGGAAACCTTTACATTATACTTATTCAAGAACAAAAAAGAAATTTCAAAATACACCTTAAGTTTATGTAAATTGATATTTCTCTCTGTGTATTATTATTTTACAGCGAAGGAAAAATGGCTCGCGTTTTCCTTACATAGGTACCTACTTTAATTTTAATCTCAAGTGGAGTAGTTGCTTCGCTACAAAAGGAAGGTCACTTTTGAATAATTTAATATAGGTCTTTGACGTGAAATGGACGAAAATAGTTTCTGTTTTCAATTTTATTTGCTCTTAGTAAAAGAAAATGAACATTCTTGGAGATGTTACAAGTAGTGAATCGTCAAATTCACAGGTTCATTTCTAAAAGTTGCTTTAACTTTACTGTTGTTGGAGTTATTTTTGTTTGTTCTGTGTATAAGGGGAGCGGATATTTTAATGGTGGCAAATCACGATTTTTGGGCTTGAAATAGAAAGCGTTTAGATTGTGCTGTTGTCTATGCCTCAGGCTATTAGTAAATTAATTATTAAATACTAGTTTCTGTTTGCGGTTTCCCATGCAGCACCAGGGTTAAAGTAGCTTATGTGTTATTCCAGACTAGGTATAATCTATCTTTGTGCCAAATTTCATATAGATCCGTTCATAAGTTTTTAATTGAAAGAGTAACAAACATTTATATTTTCTATGATATTTTGGTGTCTAGCAATGTAGACATTATGTACTTACCGTACTTGTACAGCCGGGGAAATGTAGACAGATCGGGTCCTCGGGCCAATTCTTCGCTACATAAAAATGGAAGTCCCACACCTTGTTGTTTAGATATGTTTGAATCGTTTGGTGAAACTAGAAATATAATGAAAAGAAAAAAAGAAAAATGTTATTAGAAGAAAAACATGAAGAGAAAAAAATAATATTCCTAAAGTCACCCATTGTGATATTGATTATAAAAGCACAGAACATTTAATTGCCGACTCTTTTGTAAACCGTACTAATTCTTTTTTTAGGAACCTCTATAATTCTGTGCTCGACTGTACCTTTTCATTTAGGCAAAAAAAAATAAAATATTGGAATTGTTTTTAATGACATGTAATATTCTGCACAAATACATTTAAAATATTTTACGTTAAAAGATTAAAATATTTAAATAACTTAAGTAAAATTAATTGGAAGTGGTTTTATGAAAAACAAATGAAATTACCTTTAGTGATTCAGGCATATACTGCACTAAGATATCGGCCACCGCTGGGAGCTCTTCTTCTGTAACCAATCGAAAGTTTTTCCCTTCGGGCACGATTTCCATCTCTGCAACAAAACATTTGTAACCGTTATCACTTTGTTTGAGTCAAAGTGGGGAAATGGGAATCTTTTGTGTGACAGAAGCAGTAGTTTTAAGAAAAGGCGGTAATAAATCGAGTCGTGCCTTTAGTGTCATTATTACTGGGGGCTAACCATTACGCTCAAAGTAAAATTGTTGAGAGACAGAGCTAGACAACTTGTATAGCTCTTTCTCTTACCCACACTAAAGTTATATTAAAACAGTCTTACTTTGAATATTATGGTTACCTCCAGTACTCTGCCCATAAGTATTCACTCGCTGCTCGCCTCTTATTGGTCGTAGCCTAATGTTTTATAGCCTATAGCTTTCGTCGGTTTCGACAAATGGACTATCCAACACAAAAAATATAATTCAAATGGAACCAGTAGTGATCCACCCAGTAGCTTGTTCAAAAAACAAATTATAGCTTTATTAAGTTTTTTGCTTTATTAAAGTACTTATGAATTTAATAAAGATATAATTTGTTTGTATAATCTTTCGATCTTCAAATCGAAAACGATCTCGGACAAACCAGCACCCTTCAAAATTGCACTCTCAGTATGATGAGATGAGATATCCTCGAACTAATGTGGTAAATCCTTTCTCTCCCAGCAAGGGTTGTTCTGAGCTAGTTGATGTCTAGATGCTTATCAAGTTATATGTTTTTTAGTTTTATGTTCATATCTTTATAATTTATAATTTCCGTTATTGAAACATTATATGGTTATTGTATTTTACTTTCATGTTTCGGAAACATATCAAAAGCAACAAGCGCAACAGCTGCTCATGAATAAGAGTCCCGTTGTGACTTGAAACCAATAGAGCTTTTCTGAGTTTGTTCACATGAATAAGTAGTTATTTTGTGTCTGTTATGTCTTTATATAGTAAATATTAAAAAACATCAAAATATGTTAAAAGAAAACCTATGCAACATCTATATAAAGTTTAGAGCCAGGAGAAGGACATAAGATAGGATAAAGTAGGTAGTGTAGGTTAGGTAGAGTAGGGTTGGTAGAGTAGGGTTGGTAGAGTAGGGCAGGTAGAGTAGGGTTGGTAGAATAGGGCAGGCAGAGTAGGGTAGGTAGAGTAGGGTAGGTAGAGTAAGGCTGGTAGAGTAGGGTAGGTAGAGTAGGGTAGGTAGAGTAGGGTAGGTAGAGTAGGGTAGGTAGAGTAGGGTAGGTAGAGTAGGGTAGGTAGAGTAGGGTAGGTAGAGTAGGGTAGGTAGAGTAGGGTAGGTAGAGTAGTGTAGGTAGAGTAGAGTAGGTACTCAAATGACGGGAGCAACGCCGCGGGTAGGAGCTAGTTATAATAAAATTAACTGTTTCATTTGCAGTCATTCTACATACAATTGAGAATCAATAACGTGATAAAACCTCTTTAGTTCAAAACTGCAACAGTTTTAAATAACGTTCAAATGAATGAACGAACGAATGAAAGCAAGCTTAAACTACGTAAACAACTATAATTTACATTTTATGTTCTGTGAATAACTTGAACTTAAACGGATGGTTAAAGTTACGTACGGGTCAGTAACGTTCACTGATATTTACAGAATTGTCACAAACAAACACACATCGTTTCGATTATGTCGTTGACATTTACATAATCGTTATGTGTTTAGATGGAGCCATGTTTTGTTATATAAGGTGACGTAACATCATGTTTGTCCTTTTAGTTATGTATTCCAAACTGGGTTCAATGTGTGGGATGAAGTGTAAATAGTTATAGAGAGGTGTACCGTTTTCTTATTTCTGGGGGCTAACTATGACGTCTATTGATGGTTGGATGATGTTCCAAGGGCACCAGGGGTAACTACGACATTCAAAGTAAGATTGTTTTAATCTTACTTCAAATGTCATGGTTAAGAGTCAGTGTAGGTAAGAGAAAGAGCTATACAAGTTGTCTAGCTCTGTCTCTTACCCACACTGAAGTAAGATTAAAACTCGTCTTACTTTGAATGTCATGGTTACCTCCCTGCTCTTGTTACTTCACATAAACATCAAATGACTTCTCGTGCCCTGCACGTCGATTCTATAAAATTTGTTTGATTTTGAATCCTGTTCGAGTGCGAAGTGAGCGTCGAAGTAACGAGGTAATTAAATTTTAGAATGCCACTTTTAACGTCATCTCATACTTTATCTATCAAAATATTGCTGTCAATTTAGTTCAACTCGCAAGTGTAGCGCTAGTGTACTACTACTCACGGCGGATTCAGATTCGAAGTTTAGAATGAAGTCTTACAGAATCACACCCCTGGACAAAATAAGTATCAGACTCTAACTGACTAACAACCACCCCATCGCTTCTTCTTTGAACCGCGCCTCAGTACATGATTGCCTTTTCACCTGCAGCCTCGCCCGAGGATCTGACTTATTAGGCCTTATCAGTGTCTGATGTGTGTCAGCAGTTTTGTCTGCATAGTATTTAGGATATTCCTCGTGAGTACTTAGGAGCATTTAATAGAGATTGGGCAGCAGCATTCTATGATTAATTTTGATATTTTGGTGAGCTCCAACTTAGGTGTTTTAAGCAATTATAGCTAAGCTAACCTCTTTGCAGTGAGAGCCCATAGGCCAGGAATGTCTTTGACTGTTGATATAGCTTAGGTTCCTATAATGACAATTAGGTCAGTCAGTCAGTCAGTATCCGCAGACATATTATGTACGATTGTAATAATTCCTTATTGCAATTATAATTCGTTAATAATTCCAAGCGTATTGCCAAATACCAGATCCCATTCCAAGGTTTCTAGGTCGTAAGAAGAATATAATGCTTATGTCTACCAAGGAATGTGATAATGGTCGTTATGCATAGTAGTCAGCTCAAGTCTTACACTGAGGCAAAAGGTAATGAAAGCTTATGTATGCCTTTTATTGTTCCCATAATATATTAACCTGGTAACGACATGTCACAAGTCAATTAACCAACATTCCTTGTTTCAAAGAACTTGTGAATTGTTAACGATATCGCAACCGAATCAATAAATGTTGAGTTGCATGCAAAGTGACACAAACTCGTGGCTTGACGGTTCATTCATGTTAAGATTTTATTTCTTCGCGTAATATAGGACGCAGTAAAAAGATTGGAGTTCAAACACCTTTATTATAATAAAATAAACTTTTTTTCTTTATTTTTTTGTGTTATGTTGCTGGCTGGTTTTGTTTGTAGTTGGTAGTTAGTACCAAAGAGGTTGTTAACTTTTGGCTTGTTTTATCGCAATGTTAATCTGGCGTTTTATATCTGAACGAGTAATACGGTTACAAAGGTCGTTGTTGGAAGGAAATAACCGCGAACACGCTAGTATTTCTATGTTTATTTGTTTTGATATGTACTTTTTATAAGGTGTTTTCAAGCACAACGGCTGATATAGATTTAATATTGATATCAGAGATGAATAATAATTGGGGTCGTTCAATTAATCTACCTGATTATTACTATACATCTTCGACGAATAAGAAATTAACTACACGATCAAAAAAATTGAACTTATTTCCTTTATGTAGCTAGAACTACATATACGAGAAAAGAAATTCGTAGCGCTCTGTAGTAAATGATAATGAGCTTGCTACGAGCGGGCTACGATTATGTAGCGGCTACGGCCGCGGCTACGAGTTCCGGAAAGCGTAGCTCATAAAAGTGCTTTTTTCTATGTAGCAGCTCACTTTAATCACAAGTAAAACTCGTAGAATTACAAACGAAATCATCAATTCATCACTATAAGCCTGGAATTGGCGCACTGTTGTGTGAAGGCCTCTTCTCACTCCGAGAACGAAATATATTTAAGGCGCCCGCTTCTCTTGCGTGCGGGTTCGAAACTTGGCAAGTACCAATGGGTCTTTTGACGAGTTATATGTACTTTCTAAGATTATTTGGACAACACTGACGAGAAAAACGTCGTGAGAAAACGTGGACTTATAAATTTCTTATTCAAGCTTGTTAAATAATGTTTAATATTAAAACCTTCTCCGTGTGAGAAGAAGCTTTTGCTCAGCGTCTGGAGCACGAAAAACGAGAGAAGCCATTTGATGAGTTTACCTCCTCAAAAAGGGGGGATAAATACTTATAGGCTGGTGATTTATGTTTATATTAGTATGGCGTAAAAAAACCTTTGGATTAAGATAAACTTAGTGGCCTACAGTTTCTAATAAAATACAGAAACGTTGCAACGGTGAATTTAAAGATAAAATCTTGGAATGAAATGTGCACGGTGAGCGAGATCCATGCCAGGCGGCGTACCGGCCACGAGTGTCCTGCAAAGTGGATTACTGAACGTCAGCCAGATTTAATCTGGTTGCACTGTTTGTTAGTTTGTTATTTTGTAGTTTTGTGTATATCTGTTTGTAGTGTTGTTATTTAAAAATAATGTTGTGTGCTATAGTATTTTTTTAAAGTTTTGAATTTGAATTGATAAGTTAGATTTATTATACTATAGTTTTATAAATATAAGTTTTTAAGAATGTATGGATTTATGTTTGTTATTATTTCAAGTAAAAATGGCTGCTTATTATCTATATACCACGCGGACGAAGCCGCGGGCGAAAATTAGTATGTTTATATTTATTGAGCGGTAGAAGACATGTTATCATTTTATGGTAATCAATTACCGTTCATAGACACCGGTCGCGAATCTAGAGCAGTTTATCTGAAGTAATATCTAAAGAAAGAATATTTTTTTCTTATATTTTAGAAAAAAGGTATCGATATTTGTAAGTTTCGTATGAAATAAAAACATAAGTCGATTAATTTAATCATGAAAATGCTTAAACCAAGTATATTTTAGTATTGAAAACAAAAAAGGCACATTGTAAAAAAAAAAACAAAGCTATAACATGGTATTCCAACGAGGTCATATAAATTGACATGTAAACTCGATAGTAAACGTTGCATGTTGCACGACACCGAAATCACGCCACCAAGTACCTACGTAACAACGTACAGACTAACCGCAAATCGAATTAGACTATACTAACATAACATGACCTCCTAACA